GTGAGGGGTGTGAGTCTTTCCACCCGCAGACTCTATGATTTAGAGCGGCCGGTGGATCCCTCTGTGAGGCCCACTGCTGGCACCACTACTTGGCGGGAGGCCCACGGTGATGTCAAAGTTAGAAAAGGGAACCAGGAATTTCTGAGTTCCCACTGTGTTCCTGGAACTTGGCATTTCGAGACTTGGTTCCCTGATCTCTAAAGCGACTGGTGGTATTAGTCACTTCTCAGGGCTCTTGGGGACCTAGAATGAGATATTCATGCATTCATTCATTCACTTATTCATTCAACAAATATTACTGGGCGCCCTGTGCCAGGCACTGTGCTAGGTGTTGGACAGGGACCAACAGAGACGTGAGCCTGCCCTCAGGGAGCTTGCGGTCTTGGGGAGCAGACACAGAACAGATAGGATGTCCCAAGAGGGGTAAGAAGGCTGCCTTGGGCTGAGAGGAGGGTGCGTGGGATGGGACTAAGCGTGACCTGGGGACAGGACCGAGGGGCCCAGAGGAGGAGTTAGGGCAGTGGAGAGTCGGCCAGAGCAGGGCCTTGTTGGTCAGGATAAGAGCTCTGTATCATAGTCCAAGAGCACCAGAAGGGCAGAGCAGAGGCCCATTCCCAGCTGGACGAAATGCTCTCTCACTGGCAGCAGAAGGAGGGGGGACCCTTGGCAATGCTGGCAAGAGGCCTGTGAGGGGAGAGAGCTGGCAGCACGGGGGCATCTGTGGCTCCTGGCCTCCCTTTGTGCCTCTTCTTCCTGAGCTCAAACTCCAGCCCCTGGGAGGGTGACAGCCGCAAGCACAGGGCCCCTGCAGAGAGGAGGAAGTGCCCGCCTGCCCCGGAGAGAGACAGCTGGTGCCCAGGAGTCTTATCTCCCTGCCTGGGGAGATTACGCAGGGCAAGGGAGTGTATGGGGAAAGACCCAAGAGCCCTGGGCAGGGGTCCAGAGATACAGGGTCTGCTCCCTGCCCCAACCCCAGCTTGCTCTGGGCCTCAGGTCGCTTGCCTCCCTGGGCCTTAGTTTCCCCATCTGCTGTCTATGGGAGTAGCACTCAGAGCCTGGGCTAAATTCAAGTCCATTCAGCACTTCCTCATGGAAAGAGCCTGGCTTTGGGGTCAGACGGGCTTGGGCTGGAATCCTAGCTCTGCCACGGACGGATGAGGCTGTGTGGCCCGACGTCAGCTACTTTGCTCCCAGAAGACTGCTGCTGGCTGGGGGCCCACGTTTTGAGAACCACTGCCCTAGAATAACATCCCTCTGGGAAGAGGGCCTCTGCGTGGCTCACTGCTACACCCCCAACAGTGCTGGCATGTAGCAAATTCTTGGTGAGTGCCTGTGAATGAATGAACTCTGAGTGGTTTGTTTTGGTGGGGGAAGAAGGGGCTGGAGGGTGGGTGTGGGCCTGGGGATGGTGTCAGGAGGTGGTCAGGGACCAAATCATGAAGGGTCTCTAGTGCTAAGCCGGGGAGCTGGGACATGTGGTAGCTGAACGTGGACCCCAGACGTCTACATCCTCATTGCTGGAACCTGAGAAAGTTATCTTATATGGCAAAAAGGACTTTGCAGATGTGATTAAGTTAAGGACTTTGGGATGGGGAGGTTATCCGGGATTATCCCAGTGGGCCCTAAATGGAATCACAAGTGCCCTTATTAAAAGAAGGAGGCAGAGGGAGATTTGGCTACCGAAGAGGGGAAGGAGATGTGACCGTGGAGGCGAGAGGTCAGCATGATGTGAGCAAGGGGCCACAAGCCAAGGAGTGCGGGTGGCCCCCAGAAGCCGGAAAAGGCAAAGGAGACGGATTCTCCTCTGAAGCCTCCAGAAGGAACCAGCCCTACCAACATCTTGATCTCCCAAACTGTAAGAAAAGAAATCTGTCTCGTTTCCAGTCACCAAGTTCACCATCATCTGTTACAGCAGCCCCACCTTGGAAACGAATGCAGGCCTGTATTCAGTAGAAGCAGTGGGGGTTACTGAGCAGGGTCGGTGGAGCAGAAGGGGTGAGGTTGGGGAGCTGGGATCAGAGAAGGGTAGAGGTGACGAGGGGCGGGGCAAGGGTGGACAATGGGATCAGGAAGGGGCAGACAGAGCATCCTGCTGGGGAGATGGCTGCTGGCTGGCCTCAGGGCAGGGAGGACCAGACAGCTCAGCCACTGTCTCCTGGAGTCTCCCCTTGCGCGACTGTGCCGCCCCCCGCCCGAACCCCCTACAACCTCCGCCATCACCAACCAAGGGCAGACACCTGGCCCCTTGGCAGGGATAAGGGCTCTCTGTCAGGCCAATGCTGGGTTTTGTTCCCAGATGGGAAGCAGGAAGGACACACTATTGGTCATCAGGGAAGCTGGAAGCCAACCTCATGGAGGGCCACCCAAGTCCCCAGTCGCCCTGGCAGCCTCTATTGGAAAATCAAACTCGGGCTGTTCCTGGCTTCCTGGATCCCCATGCCCCCAGCCATAGTATGAGGCCCTTCAGCTGGTTCCCCATCCTTCTCTGCTGGACCCCTCTGCTCCACAGCTGCTGTGTGTGACCCAGGCAGGCACGGCCTCTTAGCTGGCCTTGGTGGCCAGGGTGGCTGTGATGATCAGAAGAGGAGGTGGATGCTCCCTGCCCCAGCGTGCCACCCTGGAGGAACGGGTCTCTCCCCTCCGCATTTGAGGCTCAGCTCAGAGGTCTGCTCCCGGGGACGGGCTCTTTGGGCCAGGTGCTGCCTCCTCTGGCTGCCCTGCGCACTGGGTTTCAAGCCTGGGCACGTGCTGCTCTGAACCGTGGCCAGTCTGTTCCTCAACCAGACAGGTGGTGGCATGAGATGGGGGGCTGGCTTTATTTCCCTTTGTACCCTAGCACCTGGTACAGGGGTGGGGATGAGATGCCGTCACAGAAAGATTAATACATAGAAATAGCGGCAAACCTAAAACTGGTACCTAGTGGGTGTTCAGTGAGGCCTGGCCATTGCTGGTGAGTGCCTGCTGCGTGGCTCCCTAAGGATTGGGGGTAGAGGCAGCCTATTAACCCGGGTCCCACAGGTAAGAGCAGTAGGAAGTGGGATGGCAACAGAATGAACAGTGTCAACAGCCTTCTCTAGAGTCCACACCCCGTGCTTTGTCCTTTGTTTGTTTTGTGAACTAAATTTGCTTTGTACCAGAGTCTGCTTCCTGAATGAGGCAGTGTGGGAGGACAGGGTCATCTTATCTATCAAGGCCAGATGTGGAAGCTTCCCCGTCTGCATTTTGGAGAGATGCCTTTAGGTGGCTTGGAGGATGGATTTGAGAGGGAGAGTCTAGAGGCAAGGAGGCCTGGAGGAGGCTGGTTGCAGGAGCAATGAAGCTTGTTCCATAAGGATAGCAGTGGACGGGTGGAGGGTCCAGGACCAAAGTCTATGGCGGGACCCTCCACACCTGGTTCCTGCAAGGACCAGAGGGACACAAGGCCGAGGGGTCCAGTTGGGCAGTTTCACCCCCACAATGCTCCACAGGGACCAGCACCCAGAGGGCGTGAGTGTGCAGAGTCCATGCAAGCTTTTCTCAAGTCTGATGCTCAAAGGTCGAGAAAGGACAAGTATCCTACCGGGGGTCATAGAGCCTGTTGGTGCCCCTTAGCACATGTGTGCTTCAGGTGGCTCTGGGCAGGCTGCTTGAGGACAGACCCCACATTCTACAAGATGAGGAAACTGAGGCGCAAGAGGGGCAGAGACTTGCTCAAGCCACAGAGCTGAGACCGAGGCTGTACAGTTGACTTGCCATACCTGTCCATCAAAACAGGTGCCACAATGTCACTTCTACATCCCTGGCGCTCAGCACTGTTCCTGGCATGTGACAGGAAGTTGACAGATGTTTGTGAATGAATGAATGAATGGATGGATGGATGAGTCAGTCACACAGACCAGCATTCTGGGGGGCAAAGGCATGGTCTGTGGGAAGACAAAGGAAAGTGACATTTATTGAGCATTTGTATGTGTCAGATGTTCTACCAGCATCCTTTCATTTATTCCTCTCGACAGCTAGATAGACCTTGCTCAGACCTATAAACCTTCTCTCCATGTGTGAGCTTCCTCAGGCCACTCAAGTCTTTGGTGAGGTACCCCTTAATACCTTGCATGGGCTTTGTCAGCAGTGAATTGATCTCAATGTCATTCTGATCCTGTTTATCTTTTCAGCCTGGGTACCTCTCGGGGGTGGAGTCCTGGGGCATCCTCTCTCTTGCATCTCCTGCATCCCAGACATCCAATGGTCTACAAGACTATGTTTTAATAGCCTCCTAGATTTTGCTCTGTTCTCTTCTCTCTCATGGACCAGTACCACATCCCCCCCTTCACTGCTGTCCCCATCTCATTCTTCTGGTCCATGTCTCAGGGGACAACCAGAGCCCTCTTTCCAAAGTAGACAGATGCATGGGTTATACCCATCCTTGCTTCTAATCCTTGCATCTTCCCCTAAGACCTGTAGTACAATGTCCAAGCCTGGCTTTCAAGGCTTTGCCTTCCCACCTTGGCCAGTCCTCTTTCTCCTTCCACTTGAGCAGCCCCAAAGTAAGAGCTGACGCATAAAAGGTGCTCAGTGACGGTCGGCCGAGTGGGGTCTCTGATTTAACCCCCAGGCAGCAGCATTATTCCATGGCCATTTGAGGGCCGTCCTGGCAGATTTAGGTGAACACTTATGACCATTAACTAAGTGGCCGAGTTGGACCTCAAACCTAGGACTCCTGATTTTAAGGACAAGGTAGCTAGAGAAAAGGTCCACCAGTTCTGAGTCAGGGGAGCTCTATCCAGATCCCAGCTCTGTGACCCTGGCCAAGTTCTCTGCGATTTGACTTACTCCTTTTAAAAATGGAGGTAAAAAGTTCTACCTCAGGGGGTGTTTGGGAGGATGGAATAACACGAGGTCTGCCAAGCGCTCATGAAGAATTCCCAGCACATAACAGCCAAAGCAGCACCTCGTGAACAGCTGTTACCATGAGTGGGACCCCGTCCCTGTGCCCCGTCCCACACACAAGCTGCCAGGGCAGTTACCTGTCTGTGGCTCCCTGGGGGGCCGTGACCTCTGTCCCACTCCACACCTGGAGCCTCAGGGGCCTCTCTTCCTGCCACCTGGGTCCTTGGCTTGGAATCCTCGTCAGCTGAGAGCCGTTGGACTTCAGAGAAGTTCTGTGGGTGCTGTGGTCGCTGGGGCTGCAGCAGAAGAGCTGTTGGTATGCTGTGCGGAAGTCTCTGTTCAGAGCAGCGTAGAGGATGGGGTTCAGGGCTGAGTTGGCATAGCCCAGCCACAGAACCACGGCTTCGAAGGTCTCGTTGATGGCATTATCCCCTTTTAGCCCACGGTAAACAAAGACGGTGAAGTAGGGGAACCAACAGATGGTGAAGGCCCCCATCACGGCTGCCAGGGTCACTGTGGCTTTGTGTTCCCTGATGGTGGCTGCCCTCCAGGAGCTGACGTTATGGATCCTCTTGGCCTGGTCCCACGCGATCTTGAAGATGCGGTAGTAGGTGATGCACATGACCAGCAGAGGCAGGTAGAAGGTGACCAGTCCGTCCACCAGGCCATACACCAAGTTGACCTGGACTTTGCACTTTGGGATGGTGTGATTGGCACTGCTGGTCTCAGTTCTGCTGTTCCATCCCAGGTGGATAGACAGGAAGGATAGGGTGATGGAGATGACCCAAATTAAGACCAGGGAGATGGTGACACGGACAGGGGTGACCAGCATGGGGTAGCGCAGGGGATCTGTGACGGCGCAGTACCGGTCGAGGCTGATCATGAAGAGGTTGAGGATGGAGGCCGTGCAGAGCATGACATCTAGGCTGGTATAGATATTGCAGAAGACCTTGCCGAAGCTCCACCTGCAGGACAGCTGGTGGAAGGCCGAAAAGGGCAGCACCAGGAGGCCGAGGAGTAGGTCAGTGATGGCCAAGGACACGATGAAGCAGTTGGTCAGACTGCGGAGCCGGCGGTTCAAGCCCACCGCCAGGCAGACGACTACATTGCCGGCGATGGTGATGAGGATGAAGAGGGTGAGGACCACGCTGACGGTGATCTTCAACGCAGCAGGGTCCAGACAAAAGGAAGAGGTCGTGCCATTGGACGCCATCCTGGGACCCTATGGCTCTTTCCCCTGCCTCCGGCCCCTGGCTGCTTCTCTTCCAGCTCCCCAAAGGGTCAATTATGTCAACCACTGGGCTCCAAGCTGCCCAACAGAGCCAAGAGAAGTGTCCAAATGTGGAGAGGCTGCAATGACCGATCCAGTGCTGTTTTTCTAGAGATAAATAAAGCTGTCTCTTAGGAGGTGTTGGGCATGAGTATGAAGGAAGATGAGGGAAAGCTAGTCCTTGAAGCAAGCTTCCTGGTTCAAACCCCAGTCCTCAAATGACCCCTTGGCAGAGCCGGCTTCCTCCTGGGACTGCACAGATCTCCACTCTCCAGGTTTTGCATAGAGACTGACGCACTGGGGCATAAGTCTGGAGGTGGCTTTGGTTTTATTTGGGAGGCATCATGTGGAGACATGGCTGCAGCCTTCTCCATAGCGGGCGGCTGCTCCCAACCACATGACGGGGGTCTAGCACTGTTGCCTCTCCCTCTGGAGTCCACTGGAGAGCGTGAGCTAGAAATGCAAAGATTGAGTGTTGAGCATGTTGAAACCAGACCGAGAGTGTGACCTGATTCAAGACGAACCCTTCTAGACCTTGACCTCCCTTCTAGACACCAGGAGGCATGGGACCAGTCCGGCACCACTACTTAGAAGGGACAGAAGCAATCAAGATACATAGAGGGAGGAGGATGGGAGACAGGATGCAAGGGGCTGGACCACCAAGTCATCATGTGAGATACGGTTGGAGGGGCTAGGGTTGTTTATACTAGAGAAAGAAAGATCTAGACACAGACTCTAAGCTCCATGAAAACAGGGGCTGTATCTGCTTGTTCACTGCTAGTTCCCAGTGCCTGGCCCCACCAGTAGGCATTAAGTCTATGATGGATAAATGATAAAATGAATGAAAAAATAAGCAAATGTAATACATTTACTCCGATAAAGCGCCGAAAACAGTGTTCCACGCTCTCGTTTTACAAAATGTCACCATACTCTAAATGCGGAGCCAAAAGACTTTTTCAGGAAAGGGCCAGGTGGCGAATATTTTCTGTTTGCATTCTTCAGGGTCTCTGCTGCAAGTACTCAGTTCTTGTTTAGTGTGAAAGCACCTCCACAGACAATGTACAGATGAGTGATCATGGCTGTGCTCCAAGAAGACTTTACTACGGACACTGAAATTTGAATTTTACATCATTTTCACGTGTTGCAAAATAGTCTTCTTCTTTAATTTTTTTTTCTCAAACTCTTTAAAACAATTTCCAAGCTAAAAATGTAAATGCTATTCTCAGATCAAGGGCTGCACAAAACCAGGAAGAGGACCAGATCTAGCCTGCTGTTGTAGTCTGCCAACTGCAGCCCCTCTCCACACCCGCTCTTAACATCTCTCTAAACCTCACTTTCCAGGTCAGCTGGTACAGAGCTCACTCAGTCTTTCTAATGGCTGCATAACAGTCCCCAGGATGGCTGGCTGTGCTTTATTTATCATCACTCTATCACAGGTATTCCTGTTGTTTCTAGTTCCTTCCTTCCTCCTTCCTTCTTACCTCCTGTCTCACGGCAAACATCACTTCAACAGAATGGCTGCACGTGCAATGCTTCTTGGTTAAATCTCAGATTAAATTCCTTCCTACTGGTGATATTCTACGATTCCAATTGATACAAAACAAGCTAAGGCCCTGATTGATTCCTGGACCCTTTATCTCAAGCTGATCCTGGTTTTCCAGAGAGCAGGCAATCTCCTGGGATCCGGGAGTGTGCAGAAAATCAAGCTGACAGCGGAACCCCTCTGAGAAACAAGCTCATTACCATCTGACATAAATTAAGCCTCTCCTAGGCTCTTGCCTGGAGGGGTTTTGCAACCTGAATACGAGAGGCATCATTTAGTCATAACCACTGTGTTCGTGCAGGGATCACCAACTCCTGGTCACCTTCTGCCACTCTAGCAGGCTGCGCTAGAGTGGTGGTTCCTTTTTTTCTTGGAGTTTCAAATAAGAACCACCCCTGTCATGTTTCTGTCTTACAGCCTAAGTCCCAGAAGTTTCCAGTGACCTTTGTGAAGGCAGGATCTTTTGCCAATCTGTGGGTAGAATGATGGCCCTAGAGGGTCAAGGCACCCCCAAGATCACTGTTACCATGATCACCGTCATTGTCACTATCATGGTTCATATAAAAAACCACTTTCTTGAACTTTCCTTTCAAATGTTAAAAGCAATGACATGCTTATTGCAGTAAAGCAAGGGTCCTGAGGTATACAGGAAGGGCCAACTATTTGGGCCATCACATACCCAAGCCCTCACGCCAGGGAGGTGACCGTTGCTCACCATTTGGTGTGATGGAGACCATACATTCTTTCTCTGAGGCTCTGCACGTACCAGACACATGTAGGACACTGTTTTATACACGCTGTACACATTACATTGCTACTTCTTTTCCTCATTTCTTTTAAAATTCCTATTATATAACGGATACCCCTCCGGATCACTTAGATCTAACTCATTCTTTTTGGAACCTAGGCTGTGGCAATACAACCACCACCATGAGAAGAGCCATGAAGAAGGACGTCTGCGTCAGCAGGTGTGCAAGTGGCAAAGAACGGGAGACAACCCGAGTGTCCATCAGCAGGGGAATGGTTCGACCAAGGATGGCACATCTGTACTGTAGAAGAGTCCTGGGCAAGGTGATATCATACATATTAAGTGAAATATCATCTCATCCTCACAATAACCCCCAAGTGAGGGGAATCACTGTCTCTATTTAACAGCTGAGGAGAGCAAGGCTTGGAGAGGCCAAGTGACGTCTCACCCCATTAAGTGTCCAGAGAGCCTGGATTCAAACTCAGCTCACACCCTTCCAGCCTGCCCTCATGCCCGTTCTTGCACCAGAATTCAACTTGTCCTTCTAAGTGGATCTCACCAAACAGCCCTGTAATTGTCCCCCTAACTCTGCCGTTCAGGCAACCGGGACTTTGCCCAAATGCAGCACGTCTCTTCCCTCCTGCCTTCGCCTTTGCTGTCTCCTCACCTGGAGTCCCATTCTTCCCTGTCTTCAGTCAACTACTCCCTTTTCAAGGCCTGGCTCAAACACGTTTCCCCCCACCCCAACCCGCCCCAATCTGAAAGTACAGCATTCTTTTGAAACCTTTAGAAAGCTGAAATGGCGTAAAGCAAAGAAGAAGTTACCTTAGGACACATCTTGCCAACGGATGCACAAAATAAATCGAGATAAAGCACAGATGCTCAGACACAGTTCACAGCTATGGGGGCTCGATGCTGAGATGCTGAATGTGGTTCCTGGGGAAGGAGCTCTGGGGGGCACCACCTTATGCTTGGGGTGCAGGCTGCCTCTATAATGGCTTACCGCAAGACAAACCTGAACGCTATTTTTGCTTTTCACTTTTTTTCATCAAAGCAAAAATCCTCCTTGGGTTTCTTTCAGTTAGCAAAAACAGGTACTAATGTAGGTCTTTTGTAAAAGAGAAGTGGGGTAAAGTGAACTTTCAAAAATCAGGGACACCCTGAACATGTCCTGAATGCCTGCAGGCAGGGGCACCCTCTCCTGCACTTTGTACTGAGTTAGACGGCTGTCACCTTGCATTGTTAATATGGCTCTGTGTCTGTCCGCAAGCAGGTCCTGGATCTGGACCACCTCTCTCCACCTTCCATCCACCTATGCATCTGTCCTGTCCATCCATCCATCCAGTAAACATTTCTCGTTGTCTAAGGGAGAGGTCCAGGGTACATAAAGTGTGTGTGTGCGTGTGAAAATGATATGGAATTCACTAAAACCGGCTTCAGCCACTTCCTCTCCCCATCTCGCAGGTTGACCACAGATGCTGCAGTTCTATGTGTCACACTGCTTCCTCTTACATCATCTCATCTTTGCCTTAAGGACCTCTGAAAAGGCACTTTCTGGAGAATTTGCTCATGGGTTGCTGTGCCCCTCACTGCTCCCTGGGGAGGCTTCTGACCTTCACCTACAGTCATCACCTAGCAAATGTGGTGGTAACAAAAGGCAGGGCCCCGCTCAGTCTGACTCACCTCATCAAGTGCCTCTGGGAGGTCACGGTGGCCAATTGGCCCTGAAGAGCAGCCACAGCTGAGTATGTTAAATGAACTCAATGTGCTCACAGGTGTGTATTAAACCCACTGTGCTGGGCTCTGCCCGGGGAAGTCTGCTTTGATCACTTCGCAATACCAGCCTTGGTTGCCTTTAAGTATAGATAGATCTTTGATGTGACATTTAAGGTTCTTCGTGACCTGGTTCTGTCTTCTCTCTTTAGCCTTAGCTCCTGCGGCCGAGTGCCCTTTAGTTGGACAACACTTTGAGAAACAGCTCTGGTGGCATTTAATTCCTCCTGGTTTTGAAAGTCCTAGGCCCATACTGACTCTGTGCCTTTGCACATGCTATTCCCTCTGCCTGGAGTGCTCTTCCTCCCTTCCATGCCTGGGGAACTCTCACTCTTCCTTCAAGACTTGGCTTCCTCTGTCACCTCCCCCAGGAAGTCTTCCAGAGTCTTCTTGCTCCATCCCCTCTCACTTTTACCTCCCACTTATACCCACCTCTGGCAGAGGCTTGTGATATCTGGGGTGCACAGGAAGGAGGGGTTCTTTAACCCCAGTGGGTAGAATTCTGAGTTTCCAGGGCCCTAGGAAAATTCTCCTCTGAGTGTGGTCCTTGGTGATTCCCCATCAGAATGTGTCACCCTAGGAATGAGTTGTGGTGGATGGAGTCCAGAATATCATTACCCTCCTCAATCCTCCCCTGTGGCAGCAAAGAAAATGGGGGCTTGAAGGGTTGAAGGTCACCCCACCAGCGGAGGTATAGCCCAAAGGCCAACCGGGTCTGCCTGATGCCCCAACTCCCCTCTCACTGATCCTCACCCACAAAATCCCAGAAGAGATGCCACAGGTGGTACGTTCTGTTTGCCAGCAGAGGGGCGAGGTCATCTAGAAGATTAACTAGTCTGGGGGCTGGAGTCTCCTCCCATCAAATCTTATCAAACCAAGTCCAACACTTTTCTCTTTTCATTAGGAAGTAAAATGAAGCTCCCCTTTTCTGTTACCCCAGGCACAGCCACTGGGGGAGTAGCCAGCAATTTGGGGGAATCAGTTAAGGCTCCTTTGGGTTTCTCACTTGACCTTGAAGATGAATCTGATTTTCCAGGCAATCATTTACAATTGTTTTCTTTAAACGATATTCAGCAGGTAACCACTGCGTGCCAGGCACCTTCTGGGGGAGCCGGTGGGCAAGTCTGCGGAGTAGGTCGTTTGATCCTTATTCTCCAAAAACTGACACCCAGAGAAGCGAAGGGAGCCCCAGGGGCTGAAAGGCAAGGACTTAGACATTCGACAGATCTGGGTTTTAATCCCAGTGGTGTCATTTAATAACTTTGTGACCTCGGGCACAAGACTGCAACTTCTCCGAGCCTTAGTTTTCTCATTTGTAAAATGGGGATAATAATATGTCCTTCTTCACTTGGTGAATGTGAAAATGCAGAGAGTAAAGGTCTGTAAAAC